AGCTTTTTATTAATGCACGCTCAAATTAGCTGAGAGTGGCATGCACGCCAAACCAAATTTTTAGCATCGCTGTATATCACACTGCACCGGGAACTACGCTGACGTACTCTTATGTCGGGTTTCAGCATTTCACAAGTCTCACGTCATTTCACTTTCCGCTGTCGATGCGTCTTCATTCCCAGAACTTTAAAATTTTCGATTAATATGAGTCACTAATATTGTCGAAGCATTTTAGCGGTAACTTACCTTTGGCCCTTTGTAATAAAACAACGAGTCAATAAGCATATCAATGAAAAACGGATCCTGGATGTATTCAACAGTCGGCGGATACAACGAGTTATATTGCTGCAACAACAATTAGTGCAGATGCCAACGAAGACGAATACAGTAAGAGAGATTAGGAGGCAAAGTTACGTGATGTGAAGTGGCAAGTGTTGTGGAAACCGTCAAAGAGATGGAAAGGCACGCATCTGCACCTGAGCAGGAGCGGGGATAACGGATTTTCAGGCCCAGCAGTGGTGTAAAGTAGCACAGCGGTGAAATGAAAGAAGCAATGAACGAAGAAAGTAATTGCGCGATACAAAAAGTCGGTAGTTTTAATGCATTCTTAACAGCACAAAATCGAGGAGAGAGGGGAGGGGGTTGCTAAACAAACATTTTTCTAAGACACTATTCCTGGGTAAATTTTGAGTAGTAAGTCTGCACGTGCACAGCTTGTGCTGAACCTTACAATTTCAGCTCTCTGAATGAACTGAGATTCCCTGTGAATTGTGAGTTTCATTTATTGTGCGTTTTTGCATGTATGCAGAAACACATATTGTGACGACCCCGGCGTGTGTGTGCGCGTGTGTGTGTGCGTCTGTCCGGGTATTTCAATTCGGCACCCAAGCAAGCTCCGGCACCAGAATTTTGCGAGTGGGTTCCTCGGCCAAGTGCCACCCCAGGACCGCGGTACCAATCCTCAAGCAAGTCTAGGCCCCGCGTGCGAGCGCCTCAAAGTTTTGGCGGGAAAATCGCTAACTTGGAACTAGAAAAGCCAGAAAGCTGAAATTTTGGGATTATGTTCCCCGTCCATATTGAACTCGAAGATTTAAATTCAGCTCCCAGGTGTGTGCGTTTCCCGCGTACGACTCCGTGAGGGTTCCTGGCGCGAAAATTGCTAGCTCGGGAACCAAGAAAGCTGGAAGGCTGAAACTTTCAGGAAACGTTCCCAACTCATCTACAACTTGAATTTATCAAGCTCAGACCCCCGTTACGAGTGGTTACCAAGTACGGGCCCGTGAAAATTTTTGGCGGGAAAATGGACAATTCCAGAACCAGGGAAGCTGGGAGGCTGAAACTTTCAGGAAATGTTCCCAACTCATCTACAACTTAAATTTACCAAATTCAGCTCCCCGTTATGCGTGGTTGTCACGTACAGCCCCGTGAAAATTTCTGGCTGGAATTTGTGTAACTTGGGAACTGAGAAAGCTGGAAACCTGGGATTGCAAGGGAATGTTCCCTATCCAAGTATAGCGTGGACAATTAACTTCCCGAAAATCGGGGGCCAGTATGTACAAGAGGTTTCTAGGTAGCGGAATTTCGAGTGATCTTATTGCAGCACGAAACACTGCGAAAACGTATGATTTTTTTGCAGGAAAAGGAAAAGCTAGAAAGCTGAAACTTTATGGGAATGCTCGTTACTCAAGTACGAGCAAAATCAGGTGTTTAGAAGCATCCGGGGCTCACGTACGAACATGTAGGAATTTTGGCGCGAAAATCACTAACCCGGGAACGGGAAAAGCTAGAAAGCTGAAACTTTATTGGAATGCTCACGGGCCCGCCCTGTTCACGTCGCCAATGATTTTAATAGTTTCATCACCTAACCTTTCATCGTAGAGCCGACGTATTTTTCGTTGTTACTGTAGGGTCGCAAACGTATCGTGTGATAGCCTGATCGTTGTTTTTTGTTTTGGGAATGGGTTTTGCTTTGGGAACGGGTTCCCTCATTTTTTGGGAATATGTTTTGGATATGCTGCATCCTCTGCACCATTTTTTTAATTATCTAACAACGGCACTACACCTTTTATAACGAGGCCACCATTTGCAGGAGGTTCCCTCTCTTCTTTCGACGAGGTCTGAAGGGGCGCCCCCTTTCAGCGAAGTTGCTGTTGGTGATCTTACACTCTATGTTATGAAATACCGCCACTTACAGAATCATAAAGATGTTAAGACTCCTTCGTTACACTGATTACATTCTTATCATCAACAACCCAAATTTTCATGGCATTGTACATGACATATACAGTAAAACACCTCTGCTTAAGGCTACCCACTGTGATCAACATCTTTGCTTGCTCGATCGCGATATCACCTACCAGGACAGGAGGTATACCTCTGATGTCTACAATAAGGCGCTTGATTTCCCATTCAATGTAATCCAGTACTGTCATCCCGAAAGCAATGTAGATGCCCTTATTTCTCAACTGCTTCAGTATTCCCGTATCCGTTCCTCCTTAGATGGATTCGTCTGGTGATCGAGACATCCTCTTAATATCTGATACAAAAGGGCTATAATAATAGCAGATTAAAAGCAAAAGTTTATAGGTTTGCCTGTAGGAATGGAGCTATACTTAAAAAATTTTTGTATTGTGATGATGATGGCATCAGGAAAATTTGTATTTTGTTACTTTCTTACTGTTAGAATCCTTTTCTGTGATGGCTTATATTACGCCACTGTATTTGCTTCACTTTTTTAATGTCATTTTCAAATAATTCCTGTACGGCAATTCAAGGGGAGCCAGTTTTCAAAAGAAGCAAGAATGAAAGTGTCGTTCTTCGTATTTAATTTCTTCCTTTTCATTCCGGTTCTCCGCCCTGCTGCTCCTATTGTCCTTCCTTCTATAACTTTATTACCAGGCTTTTTACGCAGCTGTTGAGGGGTATTGATGGTTCCCGTCCTAGCCGTACCTTACGACTGTCTGTTTTTACCGCTAAGAGATGAAACACAGGCAAACTTTTTTCTACATACGCCTTTCCACATGACTTTTATAATATGTCGCACGGTTTCGTGCCACATGAACCCCCCTACGATCTTTTCCATTACTTCAAAACTCATTAAATCAATCCCACTCCGGAGCTAAAATTCGTTGGTTCTGCCCGCTCCACACTCGTTTGCTTCCGGACCGCCCATTTCTGGTTTTTAATTTTTAAATTATGGTTCGGCTTTCCAAAGACCACAAATTACATTTCTTATCCGACGTTTCACCGAATGTTAACACCGATGGTACTGGAATGGTATACAACACGACTTGTATCTTGTCAACAACGAAAGCTCATTGTGAGTAGGCATTTGTAACATTCAAAAGTCCTCCACACCGGCTGATCCTCAAAACTTTTTGTAAAACTAGATATAAGTTCAAAAATTACTTACTTCATAAAGACATGTGATATCAGTTGGATTTAAGCATTTGTTATTTATCATCGCGTGCATTGCTTGCCTTACATCGTTATTTACTTCTACCAGAGCAAAGTGAATTGCATTCACGTCTTCGAAATGGTCTTTGCGCGCTCCTTGACATATTGCTTCAGACATATGCGCACATTTCATCGCTACTTTGCCCCTTCCCTCTTCCTGCAATTCCTGTTTCGTGAAGGGCCTGAAGTTGCTTCGCATTTTAGCTAGAATTCGAAACAGTAAGATGTCAAATTAACAGATAAGATGTCAAATTGACAGATTTTTGTATAAAATTAATACAAATAAAATGTCAAATTAACAGATTTTTGTGAAACTAAGCACCAGTAGCGAAACAGAAGATGATCAAACTATAAAGTGTAAGTGAATTGCCTGCTTGATCAGGGAAGATAGAAGATTTTGTGTGAGCAAATAAGTGTGTTGGCTGTGACAAGCCACTCGTGATAGCTCTGCAAGTGCTTTTTCATAATCCTCCGTGAGCGGCCCTCTCTCTTCTTTTCGTAAAAGTTCGTCGACTGCCGAAAGCAGCATTCGTGAGTAGATTTCCAGCTCAAAATGAGGTATGAAGAGTGTGGCTGTAAGTCAGCAGTTTTCAAAAATCATGTGTACATTGCTCAAGTAAGTTAACATTCAGGGTCATGCTGCTTTTGTAACCTTGTGTTGAATCGGATGGATATGGCAGCTCCGTGAGTCGAGTATTGTCAGAAACGTGGATAGTGCGATGATGCACAATAAAAGTCACCGTTAAGCAAACTACTAAGCAGCGTTTCAAAGTTCGTGGTATCCAGCCAACATTAGAAGCACCGTCATGCACAAATGCAGGAAATTATGCAAAGAAAAAATAGCTGCACTTATTTTATAACTCGGTGTGGCACCGATGCTAGGAAGAGAATTGTTGCTGTTTTAAACTTTGCGCACAAATTTAGGGTGAATAAGGCCATTACCGTACCTTCGAGTAATGACAATTAGCACCAAGAACTGGGAAAAAGCTGTAGAATAAGTGATATAAGTCAGAAACGCACCAAGTTGAATAGGTCTAGCTCATCTGTTTTTGTCTTATGAGAGCTTGCCGGCAAAGACCACTGAAGGCAGACGTGGTAACTTACTTGCTGGGCAGCTGTGTTAACATTTGTAATTTCGTGCTGGAAGCCGGCATCCGATATGTTATGGATAGCGACCTTTAGAAACTGCGATTGTGGATTTTGTTCCGAGAGCGAATAGATTAAATTGCGCCATGTACTGAAAACCCTAGTATTATTAAAATTATATATTTAAGTACAGGTTCATGGATAGTCTGATAAACTTTCGCATTTTTTTTTTTACTTCAGAAACTGCAGCATTCTGCTCCATGGCCCAAAAATTTACGCTTTTTTTTGAAGACTGCTATAATATACATAAATACATTTTTACACATGCATGCATATAAAAAACGTCCTTTCCTTATCTTGATTTTATTGCAGCAGTGATGCAGTAAAGCATAAAAAGCACTAAATAAAATTTCCAAAATTCCCCTCCATTTATCACTTGGAGGTAAATCGAATTACATCTAACTGCTCAAAAAGCATCGGGATAATATTATTACATATCGTCCCTACTGCTTTTGTGGTTTTTCAAAGACTTGTTAATAAATTTTATTCCTTTCTTCCAATGTCAGCCTTCCATCCACCTATCCTCTTGTCTTCCAGAGTAACAAGATTTCGTTCTCTTTTACTGCTAACCGCCCCATAATTAATTTGATACTCCTACTTTCCCGGTCAGTTCATCCCTTCAGCTCTTCTCTGGTCGCAAGACTTTTTGGGCAGTTGCCCATGCCATTGTTTTCTTCCTCGCAGTATGCCTACTACGAGAAATGCAAAATGTAAGGAAAATAGCCTTGTATTTTTGGCGCTGCTGCATTACCTGTTTTCCAGGAGTTCTGGAAGCCAAGCATCAACATTCTCGGCAACCTCAAATTTTGCGTCGATCGTTTCAGCTACGAAATTTCTGCGAATCAGTGTGCTCAGGGTGTTCTCGATGCATTTCCGGGCGCCTTCTTCGGTGCCTTCCATAAGCACCAAAAATTCCGACAATAAATTGCAAAGCTGCAAATGAAATGTTTCGCGGATACAGAAGTAATACTAGTCAAACGCATAGCAATTCGGTGCTCACTTTTTCCAACGCATTGTTGCTGCTTGTGCAAAAAATTGTTTAGCACAAAGAAAGATGTACTAATACCTCGCTGTAGCCGTAGTAGCTGTTCACAAGCAAGTCGATAACGACCGCTTGTTCGCCGTTACATTTCAGAAACTGCCTTACAGTTTGTTCAGCCGATGGTTCCATTACTGAATCCGTTGCTGTAAAATGGTCAGATTTTGGACCTGGCTATTACTGATTACAATGCTTGGCTGTTAAGTGAAGAAAAGATATGCTTTAAGCTCAATTTTATACTACTTTTGACCGTATTGCATGCACATTATTCTCCGGAAATTGGCACTTTTTGCCACACAAAATTTTTGAATTATTTGACGGATTTGTTTTTTAGGCCACTGAATTTTGTCGGAATCGCCAACACTGTTCAGATAATCAGTATGCAGGTCCGATACTGTTCCAAATGTTGGTACAGCCATGCTAATGCCCCGGCCCTGGACTGCGTACTTCTGGCTAATATCTATCCGTGATCGATACACTGCGCTACTTCTACGGAGGTCACCCAAGTGTCATTTACTTTCTCGTGTGTACCACTTAAAACCTCCGTCATTTAGCAGCAAGGCAAGC